TTCCATAAGATGGTTCATGAATTTGTTGATGTGCTCTCTTTCTGTTTTTTGAATGTAGGTATCTAATGTGATAAAGTTTCCTCTTAAGACTGCTTTTGCTATATACCACAGGTTTTAGTAACTTGTATCTTCATTGTTGTTATGTTTGAGGAATGTAATGATTTCTTCTTTTATCTGTTTCTGAATGTAACTATCATTCAGCATAAGGTTGTTTAACTTTAAAGTCTTTGTGTGGAGATGAACGTTTTTGTTGGAGTTGAGTTCCACCTTTATTGCCTTATGGTCTGAGAAGATACATGGTAAAATTTCTGCTCTTTTAATTTTGCTGAAGTTTGATTTGTATTCTAGGATCTGGTCAAGTTTGGAGTATGTACCATGGACTGAGGGAAAAAATGTATATTCTTTAGCTTTGGGATGGTGTGTGCTCTGTTATGTCTAGTAATCTCATTTGTTCTAGGGTCACATTTAAGTCCTTTGTATCTTTGTTTAGTTTCTGTTTAGAGGATCTGTTCAGTTCTGTCAGAGAAGTGTTAAAGTGTGTGACTATTATGTTTTTATGGCATATCATATTGCTCAGACCCATGAAGGTCTGAGTAATATGTCACTTAAATGCTTAAAAGCCTTGGGTTTAAGTGATTCTCTTGCCTCAGTCTCCTAAGTTGCTGGGACTACAGCCCAGTCCAGTTCTGTCAGAGAGGTGTTAAAGTCTGTGACTTTTATGTTTTTATGGCATATCATATTGCTCAGACCCATGAAGGTCTGTGTCACTTAAATAATCCCATAAATCTGGGAGTATTTAAGTTGGGTGCACAAATATTTAAAATTGAAATGTCTTTTTTTTTGGAGACAGAGTCTCACTGTGTTGCCCTTGGTAGAGTGCCGTGGTATCACAGCTCACAGCAACCTCAAAGTCTTGGGTTTAAGTGATTCTCTTGCCTCAGCCTCCCAAGTAGCTGGGACTACAGCCCCTGCCACAACACCTGGCTTTTTGTTGTTGTTGTAGTTGTCATTGAGGCTTGGCCGGCCTGGGCTGGGTTCAAACCCGCCAGCCCTGGTGTATGTGGCCAGCACTCTAGCTGTTGGGCTACAGGCACCAAGTCTGAAATGTCTTCTTGTTGTATTGTTCCTTTGACCAGTATAAAGTCTTTGTCTTTCTTAACTTTAGTTGCTGTAAATCTGCTTGTATATGAAAATAAGATTTCAGCCCCCCCTTTCTTCTGATTTCCATTTGCTTATAATACTGTTTTCTATCCCTTAACCCTGAGTTTTGATTTATCTTTCAAGGTGAGGTGTATCTCCTGGATACAGCATATGGATGGTTTGTACATTTTTATTCAATCACCTAGCCTGTGCCTCTTCAGTGGTGAAGTCAGTCCATTGACATTTATTGAGAAAATTGATAAGTGTAGTGGACTTCTATTCATCTTATTTTGTGAGAGTCCATTGTGTAGTTTTATCCTCTGTGCCATTGTGGAAGCTGTGTTTTGACCTTTAGCTTCTGGGTGTTTACTTTGCTGATGAGTATTTCCTGTAGAGCTGGTCTTGTGGCAGATTTCCTCAGGGCATTGTATATCCACAAAGATTTTATTTCTCCATCAGTTTTGAAGCTTAGTTTAGCAGGGTACAGAATTCTGGGCTGAAAA